TTTGACGACAAGTTATCATTGTTTTTCTTACATGTTTGTAAAAAGTTGCTTAACTTTTGCAAGTATTAAGTTATGCAGAATAAAAGAACAATTTCCTCAAAATGATGACTCCACCGGCCTGACACATAACCATTACTCATTCAAGCGTTTATTTAAATGTAATCCCAATATTTTAAAACAATTCTTTGACGTTATAATACTATTACTGCTCCTCCTCAACTACTAAGGTCTTTAAGCGCGTAACAAGGATGGCAATAACACTGACCATCACCAATACAACTCTCAGGACATAAAGGATCCTCAAATGTTTATAAGGAACCTCAACACATTCATAAAGGATCCTCAAATGTTTATAAGGAACCTCAACACATTCATAAAGGATCTCTAGAATCTAAAAAATATTTGTATCATGTGAGGGCCACCTGAAGATTAGCCACCAGTTTATCTCACCTTATGATTAACCCCTCTAACGCTGACCTAATCTAACCTAACACAACTTAGTCAAACCAAATCTAACCTAATCTAACCTAATCTAACCTAATTTAACCTAATACAACCTAATCTAACCTAATTTAACCTAATACAACCTAGTCTAACCAAATCTAACCTAACATAACCTAGTCTAACCAAATCTAACCTAACACAACCTAGTCTAATCAAATCTAACCTAACACAACCAAATCTAACCTAACACAACCTAGTCTAACCAAATCTAACCTAACATAACCTAGTCTAACCAAATCTAACCTAACACAACCTAATCTAACCTAACACAACCTAATCTAACCTAACCTATCCTAACTCAACCTAACTTATGCTATATAGCGAATCGTAACGTTACTTTTCCTCGCCCCCTCCAGGTACAGCAGCTGTAGAGTGATTTACTATATCAGGTGAAAGATAAGCTGGGGGATAATCTTCTGGTGACACATTATGTATAGTAAGTAAAATTAAAAAAAACAATGTGACATTTGACTGTATAAAAAAAACTTTGGCCTCAATAATATAAAATTCAGGTGATAATTTTTTATTTTTTTTTTTACACTAATGAAAAAAAAATGTTGATGATTCTGACAAAGCTTATGCCACATACTAGTTCGTGGATGGTCTTAATCTGTTACTTGGAGGAGTGTGTGGTGAGTGTGTCTAGTGAGTGTGTGGTGAGTGTGTGGTGAATGTGTTTGGTGAGTGTCTAGTGAGTATGTGGTGAGTGTGTGTGGTATGTGTGTTAAGTGTCTAGTGAGTGTGTGTGGTGAGTGTGTGTGTGTGGTATGTGTGTTGAGTGTCTAGTGAGTGTGTGGTGAGTGTGTGTGTGATATGTGTGTTGAGTGTGTGGTGAGTGTGTGGTGAGTGTGTGTGTTGTGTGAGTGCATGTGTGGTGAGTGTCTGTGATGTGGTGAGTGTGTGTGGTATGTGTGTTAAGTGTCTAGTGAGTGTGTGTGGTGAGTGTGTGTGTGTGGTATGTGTGTTGAGTGTCTAGTGAGTGTGTGGTGAGTGTGTGTGTGATATGTGTGTTGAGTGTGTGGTGAGTGTGTGGTGAGTGTGTAGTAAGTGTTTAGTGATTGTGTAGTGAGTGTGTGCGGTGAGTGTGTGTGTTGAGTGTGTGCGGTGTTTAGTGAGTGTTTAGTGAGTGTGTTTGGTGAGTGTGGTGAGTGTGTCGGATGAGTGTCTAGTGAATGTGTGGTGAGTGTGTGGGGTGAGTGTGTGGGGTGAGTGTGTATTGTGAGTGTGTGGGGTGAGTGTGTGTATTGTGAGTGTGTGGCGAGCGTGTGGTGAGTAAATGTTCATTCATATCACTTTAGACTGTTTAGAGTAGAGTGTTTAAAAAAATCAACCACGATGACCTGTAACTCACTTTTCACAGAGAGAGAGAGAGAGAGAGAGAGAGAGAGAGAGAGAGAGAGAGAGAGAGAGTCCAAGGTCGTGTTATGTAAACAAGAATTTTGTCATATGACCAGTCACCACTGCCCGATGGATGACCACAGAGGCGCTCGCTGATACGCTCTCTCACCCAAAGAGGAGAAGTAGTACAGTACAGTACAGTACAGTACAGCTCACAGTTCAAGGCTTTCCTTTGATAAGTCCCGGGTTCGTCTGGTTCCAAAAAGCTGAACCATTGTTGATTTTTTATCCCTGAACATTTACATGGAATAATAACATATCCGTTGAACCAGAAGAGGAAATTACCTACAGGAATATACAGCATACAGTATATTAAATCTTAATAGCACACGTACGTTTAAGTCATGTATCTGGATTCCGTAAGATTCACACTATTAATATTCTCCTTAAACTAGGGATAAAAAAAACATAAACAGATACATTAGAGTGTCAGTGGAATTCTACCGCCAATTTAACCGGAAAGTTTGTGACGGAGCTAAAATGTGACAGTCAGATGTGTTCTCATATCCCCGAGCCATGAGCGAGGCCAGGGTGTGTGGGTCCTGGCGGGAGAGTTTAGTGTGAATGACGTGGTCTGTCATATCCAGCTGCTGTGGTGGACCCATATTACCTTTTCTTTGAGTGTTTGTCCGTCGATCCGCAAATAATATACAGTTTACATATATATATATATATATATATATATATATATATATATATATATATATATATATATATATATATATATATATATATATATATATATATATATATATATATATATTAAACTTTTAAGGTAGATTCTATAAAAAAGATAATTATTTGTCAATTCATAGTAATAAGGATAACTTCCAGGTCACTCTGAATTTTGTCGATAGCAATCTGTTACAAAGACAGCAACATCAGACTTATCTTAAGTCTCCAAATGACCTCTGTACAACCCAACAAGTCTCCCATACCTGCACTAGAACTTGTATACCTGTAGTGCAGAGAAAGGACTTGTCCCTCTGCGTAAACTATTTCAGGACAAGGGTCTGGACATCATCAGACTGTACACACTGCACATTAGGCGCTCTTTTGGTGGTCTGGACAGATGGGAATCATCTGCAGGAAACACAAGTCTGAACTGAAGGGAGGGGAGGAAGACCCGTCCGCCACAGACTCTGTAGTGTTATGGGCCATGTGAGGGCGAGCATTATTATGAAGCAGAAACCAAGTTTGTGATACAATGGACTCGGATGGTTCCTACTGATGGATGCTTGAACACGGTGTACATGACGCCAGCTCTCACGCGGCCCATAACAAAACAAAATATTTACGATGAACTCTCATTCACTACCGCCAGATCCAGGCACGAGCCCTTTCCGCCCCGCTCCCTTCCATCAACAATTTATTGCACAATTGCACACTTTTACAGGGTATTATATGCAACACCAACAATGCTGACGAGGGGAGGGTTGGTGTGAAGTGGGTAGTGGGGAAGTGCTAGTAAACAATGGTGGAGAGGTGTGGAGTGGGATAGTGGAGAGGTATGGGAGTGGGATAATGAGGAAATGTTAGAAAACTATGGTGGAGAGGTGTGGAGTGGGATAGTGGAGAGGTATGGGAGTGGGATAACGAGGAAGTGTTAGAAAACAAAGGTGGAGAGGTGTGGAGTGGGGTAGTGGAGAAATATGGGAGTGGGATAATGAGGAAGTGTTAGAAAACAAAGGTGGAGAGGTGTGGAGTGGGATAGTGGAGAGGTATGGGAGTGGGATAATGAGGAAATGTTAGAAAACTATGGTGGAGAGGTGTGGAGTGGGATAGTGGAGAGGTATAGGAGTGGGATAATGAGGAAGTGTTAGAAAACTATGGTGGAGAGGTGTGGAGTGGGATAGTGGAGAGGTATGGGAGTGGGATAATGAGGAAGTGTTAGAAAACTATGGTGGAGAGGTGTGGAGTGGGATAGTGGAGAGGTATGGGAGGGGATAATGAGGAAGGTTAGAAACTATGGTGGAGAGGTGGGAGGGGATAGTGGAGTGGCGTAATGGTGGTGTTTTTAGTAATGGATTGCTGGTATGGTGGTAGCGTAAGAAGGGAAGTAATGTGACGGTGTGGTGATCGTGTGGTATAGTGGGAAGTTGTGATATAACGGGAAGGTGTGAGGAGGTATTAGATGGGGGGAGGTTAGTGTGGTAGTGTGGTGGGGAGGTGGTGTGGGTGGGGAGGTGGGGAGGTGTGGGGTGGGGAGGTAGTGGTGGGGGAGGTGGGGAGGTGGGAGGTGGGGAGGTAGAGTGGTAAAGCAGGGGTGGGGAGGCAGGTGGGTGGGGGAGGTAGGTGGTGGGGGAGGTAGAGTGGATGGGGAGGTAGGGGTGGGGAGGTGGGAGGTGGGTGGGGAGGTAGTGTGGGTGGGGAGGTGGTGGTGGGAGGTAGGGGTGGGGAGGGAGGAGGGGTGGGAGATAGTGTGTGGTGGGGGAGGATAGTGTGGTGGGGAGGTGGTGTGGTGGGGAAGTAGTGTGGTGGGGGAGGTAATGTGGTGGGAGGTAGTGTGTGGTGGGGAGATAGTGTGGTGGGGAGGTGGTGTGGTGGGGAAATAGTGTGGGGGAAATAGTGTGGTGGGGAGGCAATGGTGGGGAGAAAGTGGTGGGAGGTAATGGTGGGAGGTGGTGTGGTGGGAGGTAGGAGTGGTGGGGAAATAGGGTGGGAAGGCATGTGGTGGGAGGTGGTGGGTGGGAGGAGAATGTGGTGGGGGGAGGTGGGGTTGTGGGTAGGGAGGTAATGTGGGTGGGGAGGTGGTGGGTGGGAGGTAGTGTGTGGTGGGGAGGTAGTGTGGTGGGAGGTAGTGTGGTGGGGGAGGAAGTGTGGTGGGGAGGTAGTGAGGTGGGGAGGTAATGTGGTGGGGAGGTAGTGTGGTGGGAAGGTAGAGTGGTGGAGGTAGTGTGGTGGGGAGGTAGTGAGGTGGGGATGTAATGTGGTGGGGAGGTAGTGTGGTGGGAAGGTAATGTGGTGGGGAGGTGGTGTGGTGGGGAGGCTGGTTGGTACACACACACACCGGGGTCAGTGATGGTGTTGAGCGGCTCTAGGAGGTAATTGCTGTATAAAGCCCGTGTAGATGAGGCACGTGGCACCAGTCGGCACGTGAACGCCGCCTCGCACGGTCCTCATCGCCACTAAGGCAAGCAAAGTGATAGACGGAAGAAAACGGAGCCCGGGAACTGATTTATTTGACTCGAGGCAAAACTTCGCTTTATCGTAGAGAGGAAAAATCTATAAGATAAACAGGTGTATTATAACCAGACTAAGGGAACAAAAAAACTTGATTCACTAACTGCATCACTAAATACAATCTTAGGGGCTTTATATAACACCAGTATAAACTACAATTGAGATTTAGGTAGCAAAGAAAATGTTTTATAGATACAGTAAAACTTTGATCACGATGAACTAATCAACTGTTCTGACATACACGACCATTGTCCGCCGACTATCCAGTGTCAGCAAGCAGGGGGAGGGGGGATGGTGTGGGCACGGGTGGTTGTGGTGTTGGTGGGAGTGTTGGGGGCCTGGGTGGAGGGACACGGGCGGCTAGTGGATCCCCCCGCCCGCGGCACCATGTGGAGACTAGGGTTTGACACCCCCGCCCACTACAACGACCACCAGCTCTTCTGTGGCGGGTTCTCGGTAAGTGTCTGGGGCTAGTGATCTGTCTCTCACCCTCATTTCTTTTCCATTCTGTTCCTGTTTATACTCAGTCTATCTCTCTCTCTTCACTGTCCCTCCTCTATCATCACGACTATGAGCTACAGGTTATAATATCATCATTATAACCAATTCATCAACTATTTAACACGTCCAGCTAAAAAAAAAAAGTACATAATTGTGATCATAATAAATTTATACCCGTGAAAATGAAACTACAATATTATCATAGTTATGTTACGTATTTAAATAGAACCTTCACAGTAATACCTGTTGAATTATCACACACACACACACACACACACACATACACACACACACACACACACACACAATAACAACCAAACTTAAGATAACTAAACTTAACATAACAACCAATCCTAACGTAATGACTCTAGGATAGTTTTTTATAATTTACACTCTTGTTCACAACTGTATTTAAGCAACATACGATACAGCGTCATATAGGAGCACACGATCAGTTGAGAGATTCGTTCCAGCAGTTGGAGGTGTCGGGCGTATAAACAGACAGACGTTCATGATTTAATAAAGTAAAAATTATAATCTGACAAGAGACCATAAAATAATAACGAGACCCTGTTTGATGAAAGCGAGAGAGGATAAAACACCTCAGAGTTTTCTCAAACAAAATATATAGTTGACAAGAGGAAAAAATAAGGTAAAAAAAGTTAAATGTATACGTGATACAGAGAACAGCACATCTGGTTATAATGTCGGGTCACACACACACACACACACACACACACACACACACACACACACACACACACACACACAGAACAGAATTTTTTTGTATTTTTCTCTCTGGCTAGAAATGAGTATTGTCACCCCCTGACTTCTTTCAATTTCAAGTTATTCATTAATAAAAATTATGCAAATTCTACAAACTTCAGACAGAAAACGAGAAGAATTTTGGAAGAAGTTTTGTTTTGTTTCTGTGGTGTTGTATAAGAGTGCGGCTGTGAGTGTGGCTATGAGTATGGCTGTGAGTGTGGCTGTGAGTGTTGTATACGAGTGCTGTGAGTGTATGAGTATGGCTGTGAGTGTGGCTGTGAGTATTGTATAAGAGTGCGGCTGTCAGTGTGGCTATCAGTATGGCTGTGAGTGTTGTATAATAGTGGCTGTGTGAGTGTGGCTGTGAGTGTTGTATAAGAGTGTGGCTATGAGTATGGCTGAGTGTTGTATAAGAGTGCTGTAAGTGGCTATGAGTATGGCTGTGAGTGTTGTATAATAGTATGGCTGTGAGTGTGGCTGTGAGTGTTGTATAAGCCTGTGGCTGTGAGTGTTGTATAAGAGTGTGGCTGTAAGTGTGGCTATGAGTATGGCTGTGAGTGTGGCTGTGAGTATTGCATAAGAGTGTGGCTGTGAGTGTTGTATAAGAGTGTGGCTGTAAGTGTGGCTATGAGTGTGGCTGTGAGTGTTGCTACATAAGAGTGTGGCTGTGGTTATGTAATATAAGACGACTGAAAATGTATATAATTACCTTTATATAATACTAAATGGCCTTTCTAATGATAAAGGCTTTTGTTGAAGATTTTCTTGGTTTGAAATTCATCGGTGTAAAAGAGTTATGACAGACACAGGACAACATTAAGTACAAGTTGTCACGATGAAGCGGCGTCAGTGCGGCTACTCACATTCCTATCATTAAGTGAATGAATAAGTGAGTCAGGATTTATTTGAATGGTACTAACTGATAGATAAATAAATAAAGGCATTGGATATAATGATAAAAAAAAATCCCCCAAAAAATCTCATATTTGGAACAATTTAAGAACATTTTGTCATGGAGGAAAATAAATGCTCACTATACCGCTCAGCCCCGACACTGTATAGATACCAAACATCACTTGACTTGGTGCTGAGATCTGGCAAGCGTAAGTAAATGAGTTGTTTTTATAGGACTTATCATAATTTTGGAGGTACAGCATATATGAGACGCTGTAACCTCTCCCTGGCAGTCACGATGTTACAGTGAGGATACTTTGTATAACGTTAAGCTCATTATCTCTCTTCCTTATCTGTCTCTTTTTCTCTTCCCTCGCCTTTTTCTCTCTTCCCTCTGTCTCTTTCTCTCTTTTCCCCTTCTTTTCTCTCTCTTCCCTCTCTGTCTCTATCTCTTCGCCTTCAGTCTCTCTCTCTCTCTCTCTCTCTCTCTCTCTCTCTCTCTCACAAATGTTCACATACTTAAATGTCACGTCAAGGATATTTATTACCTCACAGAAACCAGAATCAAATGCACTATAAACCCTTCCTCCCTCACTCTTTCTCCTCCATTCATTCTGGCAGCCTTGAGAGATGTGCTTTGTTTGTGTCTCTTCTACAACAAGGTTCCAAGATCTCTTTCTGATTCACCCCCCTGTCGCTTAATACATCACCCTGTTGATACATCACCCCTGTCGCTTGATACATCACCCAGTTGATACATCACCCCTGTCGCTTAATATATCACCCTGTTGATACATACCATCACCCTGTCGCTTAATACATCAATTCATCACTACATGTCGCTGCATCACATCACCCTGTCGCTTAATACATCATACATAACCTGTCGCAATACATCACCTGTTGATACATCACCCTGTTGATACATCACCCTGTGTGCTTAATACATCACCCTGTCGCCAATACATCACATCACCCTGTCGCTTAATACATCAACCCTGTTGATACATCACCCCTGTCGCTTAATACATCACCCCTGTGCATCACCCGTTGATACATCACCCCTGTTGATACATCACCCTGTCGCTTAATACATCACCCTGTTGATACATCACCCCTGTCGCTTAATACATCACCCTATCGCTTAATATATCACCTGTTGATACCTATCCTTGATACATCACCTGTCATACATCACCCTGTTGATACATCACCCCTGTCCTTAATACATTACCCCTGTTGATACATCACACCTGTCCTTAATATATCACCCCTGTTGATACATCACCCGCTTAATACATCACCCCTGTTGATACATCACCCTGTTGATACATCACCCTATCGCTTAATATATCACCCTGTTGATACATCACCCCTGTCGCTTAATACATCACCCCTCACATCACCCCTGTTGATACATCACCCTGTCGCTTAATACATTACCCTGTTGATACAATCGCTTAATACATCACCCCTGTCGCTTAATATATCACCCTGTTGATACATCACCCCTGTCACTTACATCACCCCTGTTGATACATCGCTTAATACATCACCCGTCGCTTTTATACATCACCCTGTCGCTTAATACATCACCCCTATCGCTTAATACATCACCCTGTTGATACATCACCCTGTCCTTAATACATCACCCCTGTTGATACATCACCCAGTCGCTTAATAAATCACCCCTGTCGCTTAATACATCACCCCTGTTGATACATGACCCCTGTCGCTTAATACATCACCCCTGTTGATACAGACCCCTGTCGCTTAATACATCATCCCCTGTTGATACATGACCCCTGTCGCTTAATACATCACCCTGTCCTCCTGTTGATACATCACCCTGTCGCTACATCAATACATCACCCCTGTCGCTTAATACATCCTGTTGATACATCACCTGTCGCTTAATACATCACCCCTATCGCTTAATATATCACCCTGTATCATAGCATCACCCCTGTTGATACATCACCCCTGTCGCTTAATACATCACCCCCTGTTGATACATCACCTGTCGCTTAATACATCACCCCTATCGCTTAATATATCACCCTGTTGATACATCATCCTCAATATGTCGCTTAATACATCACCCTGTTGATACATCACCCTGTCGCTTAATACATCACCCCTGTTGATACATCACCCCTGTCGCCATCACCTGTATGATCGCATACATAATACATCACCCCTGTTGATACATCACGCTTAATATACACCCCTGTTGATACATCACCTGTCGCTTAATACATCACCCCTATCGCATCACCCTGTTGATACATCACCCTGTCGCTTAATATATCACCCTGTTGATACATCACCCCTGTCGCTTAATACATCACCCTGTTGATACATCACCTGCCGCTTAATACATCACCCCTGTCGCTTAATACATCATACATCCCCTGTCGCTTAATATAGCACCCTGTTGATACATCACCCCTGTCGCTTAATACATCACCCCTGTTGATACATCACCCTGTCGCTTAATACATCACCCTGTTGATACATCACCCTGTCGCTTAATACATCACCCTGTTGATACATCACACCCTGTCGCAATACATCACCCTGTTGATACATCACCTGTCGCTTATCACCCTGTTGATACATCACACCTGCGCTTAATACATCATACATCACCCCTGTTGTTGATACATCACCCAACGTCACACAACAGCATATCAATAATCAATAATAATAATATGTAATAATAATAATAATAATAATAATAATCATAATAATAATAGACACCTACTACTACTACTACTACTACTACTACTAATAATAATAATCATAGTAATAAATACACTACTACTACATATACAATAATAATAATAATAATAATAATAATAATAATAATATGTAATAATAATGTAAACACTGAACATCATGTGGGCTTATCACACACACACTGCTGTTTCCTGGATGTCACTCTCCTTCACATCCTTTTACTGACCTTTCATTCCCCATTCTCACAGTAGGACCAATCAATACTTTGGTCCGCTCTTTGTCCCGTACAACATTTATTTCTACAGCTTATATCCGCGTGTTTCATATTTGCATTCTTTTCACTCCACGTTTTACTCTCAAGCATAAGACATCTGTGTCACATCTAACGTGTTTCGTTCCCTTGCTTCAGAATTCATGCATCGCAGCCGCACAATAACGTCCTCTCGGTTATTTCCTTGTACAGTACATCCCTATCTTTGCCTCTTATGTCACTTGACCAGTACTCCAGCTTTCACTTTCCTGACGTAATCCTACTTTCACTGGGATCCACT